CATAAACTCACAAAATTTAAAAACAATTTAAAACAACTATATTAAATTTGGCCCACAAAGTTAAAAATAAACTGACTTTGTATAAAAAGAACACCACTTTGGGGGGGGGGGGCGGGCAAAAGCCCTACTAAGCAGGTATATACAAAAGTATGAAGGCTATTGCTTAACGCATTGTAAGCCGCCCTGAGTCTCTGGAGAAGGGCGGCATATAAATCGAACTAATAAATAAATAAATAAATAAATAAATAAATAAATAAATAAATAAATAAATAAGGCAGCCTTCAGGGTATACCATCCTGTACGTAGCTGGCATACAGCTTCTTTTCTTGATGCAAATAGCCTTGCTTCTCTCAGTGCTAACACTGCAGTCCCTGAGCCTAACCATGAATCTCCTCTCTGTTATGAACTCACTGTTGGTGGGTCTAACAGAAAATGCTTTCTCTCTAATGCTCTTCTAAGATGTGGGGGATGAAGTTATAAAAGGAAAAAAGGTGAAATGGACAAGACTGTTCCCTTTTGAACAGAGAGCACCGTAGGAAACAGAAGTGCACAAAGGTTGGACGAATATCTCCAACAGGACAGGAGGCAGCTTATAAAAATAAGTAGAAGGCCTCGCTTCCAGCTTTTGCCAAAGTCTAGTTGTTTTATCACGGAGCTTTCAAAGAGCCAGAGGAGGACCACTGCAGCTGCATATCCAGAGAGATCCATTCATAGGGCTGGAAGGGACCTTGGAGGTCTTCTAGTCCAATCCCTTGATCAAGGAAGGAGACATTATACCATCCTGGTCAAAAAGCTGTCAAGTCTATTTTTGAAAATCTCCAGTAATGGGTCACTCACAATTATGGGAGGCAAGCTATTCCACTCATTAATTGTTCTGTCAGAAAGTTTCTCTTTACTTCTAGGATATATCTCTCTTTAATAAGCTTCCACTCATTACTTCTTGTCCTGTCTTCTGGTGCTTTGGAAAATAAGTCAATCTCCTCTTCTCTGTGACAGCCTCATAAATACTGAAAAGACAGTTATGATGTCTCCCCAAATCCTTCTCTTCAATAGGCTAGATATACCTAGTTCCCTCAAGTATTCATCATACGATTTATTTATTTATTTATTTATTATATTTTTATACCGCCTTTCTCCCCAAGGACTCATGGGGGTGTACAGCCAAGAAATATATAGACACACAAACATTATAAAATTGCTAATTAAAATTATTATTTAGTTTGGCCAATTAAATAAAACCCAGAATTAGATAACATTTTAAAAAATCATTCACATGGTCATATGTTTAGCCCCGCCTGTTGGAACATCAGGGTCTTGAGGGCACGGCGGAAAGCACGGAGATCAGGGATATTCCGTATCTCCGGGGGCAGTTCATTCCAAATTTGATTTAGCCCCCAGACCCTTTATCATCTTTGTTGCTTTTCTCTGCACACTTTCTAGGGTCTCAGGATCTTTTTTTGTATTGTGGTGACCAGAACTATACAGATGTGATCCTAACATATCTACAAGCTTTCATGTTGTCCAAGCAGAGGCTGGAAAAGTATTTGTTGCTGATGCTTAAATTTCAATTACTAAATCAGAAGGCTTGATGGATTCAATTATCTAAATAATCCCCTGCAGCCTTATTTTCTATGAAGGGTTCTCGAAAGATTTCACAGCCAAAGAATAAGTTTCTCATTGTAGCACAGGGTGGGGGTACATTTAAAGGGTCGTAAATGGGCAAAGGCCTACAGCATTTCAATCAGTTTTTACATTCAAGGCACAAATGCAAATAACATGCTCCATGGAAGGGAAATATGGCTTTTTCCTCAGCTGTCTGTTTTGTGCAGAGACAATGCTACGGTGCTTTCCTGTACCAACACTTGTAACTTCAAATAACCTCCTTGAGATCTGATGCTTCGATAGCCTAACCATCTGGAAGTATGCTTTCCACCTCAAGGAAATCAAATTATGCAAGATTTTTATTGACTGTATTTTGTAGTGTTGCCCAACTTTCTGGGTAAAGATACTACAAGCTACCATTAAGTTACAGCAAATGGTCAGTCAACCTGGGAATTCAAATCCCACCATAGCTGAGGCTCTTGTGTATCCTCACAGACGACTCAGTATATTAAACAGTTTGCTTCCTGTCTGCTACTATCAAACATACTGTAGTTAAATTACCGTATATGAACTGAGGCCACTATATTGGCCTGCTGTCTTTTGCAAATGGTTCTCTCTGGCCTCAATTGAGGATCCTTCTGAATCTCACGTGTAGAGACCCTTTAACTCAATCTTCCCCAATTCAAATCCCTCCAGACTTTTGTATCTTACCACAACTACCAAACACAGTTAGGATAGACAACAGTGAAGAATGATGAGAGTTGCAAGCAAAAGTATCAGACAAGGTTTAGACTGAAGACTCCTGCTTTAACTGATGGTGTGGAGACTGGTGCTGGGGCATTATGAACTTGCCTACCCATTCAGATCCCTGAAGCGGCTTTTAGTTATGAATTTTCATCAGAAATTTGGCTGGTAATATTATGAGTGTTTTCTTATGCAACAGCAGCATCCAAGTTATAGAAACCAAGAGGTCCAGACAATTCCTACACTGACAGTGATTATTACTTTTCTTTAAGCACAACACATGGTTTGTTTTGAACAATTTTGTCACAAAAACATGGTTTGTTTTGAACAATTTTGTGGGTGGATATGATACGGAATTTAAAATAAATACATGAAAAGAGAGTGTGTGTGTTTGCTGAAAGAATCTACTGTGCATTTGAAACTAGGATTCAGCAAATCTAGCAGGGATTGGATCTGTATAGCACCACCCTGTTGATATTATGTTCAATATTAATGATCTATCAAAGAGGGAGAGAATTTCTTAGATTAAAATCAACTAAACAACAGCCCAGAGTTATACATATTTTTGGCAACGCAGCTTTAACTTTTAAATAACTACACAGTTGAGACTTTCCCCCTTTTATTTTCTTTCGAAATAAATTTTGTAAGGCAAATCCTATTTACTACGGCGGTCTCCACACGTCTGGGATCCTCCAGATGTGTTAAAACCTCATAAACTTTCAACCAGCACAAATTCATTTCTGGCAAGGTGATATCCAAAGACTATACGACTGTTTATTTTACATGCAGAAATCAGGCAGAGTGCAGAATTCTGCCTCTTAAAAAAAAAAATCCGTCTCTTTGACTTTGTAAAGCATATAAAGCGCACCAAAAAATCTTAACCAAGGCAGAATGCCCTGGAAGGGATAAAAATAAAAAAGAAAAAAGAAAAAAGAAAGAAAGAAAGAAAGAAAGAAAGAAAGGAAGGAAGGAAGGAAGGAAGGAAGGAAGGAAGGAAGGAAGGAAAGATCTATGTATTTGGTATTATCTAAGCATTTAAGAGTAGTATACTCTTTGGATATCACCTTGCCAGAAATGAATTGTGCTGGTTGAAGGTTTATGAAGTTTGAACATAAGAGAAACTCCACTGACACGTATTCTTTACCTCTCCCAGCAGTTTCTCGTAGTTGGGAGGGATCTTTGCCCTGAAAGGCTAACAGGCCTACCCCAAATCTACTACCTACTAACTAACTACTCTCTGGGGGAGAACATTTCTTTCTACAGCTTTCTTTCCTTTCCCCAGAGACTCTCGTCTCTCCCCCATGACTGAAGACTGAAAGGGGCTTAGGGGGGCTGTTCTGAAAGCATCCTCTCCCCAGGCAGAGCCGCCTGACCTCGTTTTGCAACTTTTAAGCGATTTAAGAGCTGCTCCCTCTTGCACAGAGGCCCCCCCCCCCCCAGATCCTCCATGGTGGCACCTTCAGCATCCCCGGTGGAGGAGATTAAGCCTCCCCCACCTCCCCTTAAGAGCAACACGCGGCATCCCACCACCCCACGCGCTTTCCCACCCGAGGCTGCCACGCTGCCTTGCCCAAGGGCCCCCCCCCCGCCCCTACAGGCGGGGGGCCCCCCCTCACCCCCCCCCCCCCCCCCCTCCAGGGCCCCCCCCCGCTCGCCCCCCCGTGAAACTCGACGCCCCCCCCCAAAAAAAACCCTCCGCAAGACTTACAGGAACAGCGTTGCCCTAAGCATCGTCCACCCCCTATGGAGCCCCCACCAAACACTTTGGCCCCGCCCCCTAGAGAGAGCCCCGTAGGCACCTGCAAGCCCCGCCCCTCGTCTAGGCCCCGCCCCCTCCCGCTGTCTCACCGGCAGCTCCGGCGTCTCCGGGTCTCTCTCACTCTCCTTCTTTTTTTCCCTCTCTCTTTCTCTCGCCCCCGTCTCTCGGGCTCCGCGGCATCCAAGATGGCGGCAGCCTCCCCCCTCTATTTTCTCTCGATCCGCCCTCCCCTGAAACGCATTGGATGATCCTCCCGCCCCTCAAGCCTCTCACCGTTTCGATTGGATAATAAGGAACTGGACGGAAGGGGGAACGGGGAAGGTGGGACGACGCGGCGCAGCCGCAGCTGTCATTAATAGGAATGCATGGGGTCTATTTGTCAAGAGGTGGTGTCCTTCAAAGCGCTCTCGTGCTGCCATTGGCTGGAGAGGCGCAGATGGAGTAGTAGGCGTGGTTACGCCTACTACTCCTCGAAAAACAAGCCGAGAGGGCGGAGTTTACGTCAAAGTCTGCCTCCTAATGGGCAACAAAAATGCCCCTCAAATCTCACTCTGATATGATTGACTACCGCTTCCTGTACACGAATACTGGCAAGAGTAAGAAAGGATATTGGATGGCGGCCCTGTCATTCAATCCTTGGTCCTGCTGTTTGGTTGAAACTGATAAAAAGGCGGTAGCGCGAAAGACTTTGAGCCTGTGTCTCCCCATTGGCTGTAAACAAGCAAGCCTGCACATGTTGTCTTCTCATTGGACGGCCGTGCCTCCCCGTAGAAACCTTCCCCTTTTTCTATTGGCATGCTCGTTTTGAAGCTGGTTGCATTAAGGTAAACGGGGTCGGGGCGGGACAATCTGCAGGAAACGCTTTAAAAGGCAACCTGTCAATTAAACCCACTGTATCCAATCAGGGAAGGAAGAACGACCCCTTTCCAAGGTAGATATTCTTCTATCCGGGTTTTGGTTTAATGATTAATTTCAGCACTTCCTATCCAGGTATCACAAAGGCTTGTCAAGATTTAGGCGGGCGCAGCAGTGTTCACCAACTGATAAAAATGAAGGTACCTTCTTGCTATTGGAACATGAGCAGAATCTCAGCATCCAAATAAAAAACAGGTGTATCGAAGAGAGAGACAGACCAACTTCACTAGTGATATAACCCTTGGTTTGCTGAATCATATTGTTGCATAAGCTGCAGGGCTGCTTTTACGGCATAGCAAGCAAACTTCACTGTTAGTAAACACACAGGAGCTTATCCTTAAGGACTCCAATATTTGAGGGGCTGCCACAGAGAGGAAGGGGTCAAGCTATAGTCTAAAGCACCTGTAGGCCAGACAAGGAATAACTGAACAAGGAGAGATTTAACCTGGAAATGAGGAATTTTCTGATAGAACAATCAACCAGTGGACTGCCATTTGTCAGAAATGGTGTAGGGCAGGGGTCAGCAACCTGCGGCTCTGGAGCCGCATGTGGCTCTTTCACCCCTCTGCTCCCCGTCACTCAAAATATGCGTCACAACCGCCAAAGTGCGACACCCGCCGGCACATGATTGAGTTTTTCAATAACCATGGATATAATCCAAGAAAAGTTAAGTTTCAGAAGAAAACAGAACATTTAATTCAACTACATATGCTAGCTTTGTGGCTGCTCAAGAAACAGTCAGGCATGGGAAGAGTTTTGTGGTTCCTGGTGTTTTCTTTTCTGTTGGAAACGGGTCAAAATGGCTCTTTTGAGTGTTTAAGGTTGCAGACCCCTGGTGCATGGTCTCCTGCTTTGGCGGGGGAGGAGGGGGTGGGGTTGGACTAGATGACCCACAAGACCCCTTCCAACTCTGTTAATCTGTAATCAGTAATCTGATCCACAACAGATTATAAATTCTATTATTACAAAGAAAAACAAGACTAAAGAGCTGCACCTCCTGAATACTGCCAGCCTGATTAAGTCTTTTGATTCATTGGGAAACAATGGAAAATGCCAGATTAAAATCTCCGGTCTTGCACTGTTGGTTACTACTAAAGCTATTTTCCGGAGGGAAATTTCACTGCAGAGCAAGGATTATGCACCCATGCCCACAAAAACATAACCAAATACATATGACAGGAATGAATGGAATTGTTATGTCAATTTTGTGAAACACCATCACTATGGAGGTAGTAGGCATAGTTATGGTATTTTACAACCAAATGCATGGTGACGTGTTTTGTCTATGCTAAATTTCATGGGGAAAAAAAATCTATGTGGCCTCTTAATGACAACTCTTGATGGCACCTAATGTGTGCTCAATTTACAAGAAGGTGAAGTCCTATCACAAAGGTATAGGAAGAGCTACGCTTAGAAGAAGCTGAATGTCCAAGCCACAAGACAATAGAGATAGCAAGAATTCTCCCCTATTCTTACTCCACTAAACAAAAGGGTTAGACACAGGCATTTATAATAGTTTCTTCTGAAATATACACGGGCCTGGTGGCTCAGCAGACTGATAGCATTGTGATTAACACCAGCTGTCTGCAATTACTGTAAGTTCGAATCTCACCAGGCTCAAGGTTGACTCAGCCTTCCATCCTTTCTAAGGTAGGTGAAATGAGGACCCAGATTGTGGGGGCAATAAACTGACTTTGTATAAATATACAAAAGTATGAAGGCTATTGCTTAATGCATTGTAAGCCGCCCTGAGTCTCCGGAGAAGGGCCGCATATAAATCAAATTAAAAAAAAAAAATACACTGAATGCTATTTTTGAACTATTGTAAATAAAATATACTATAAAACTTCAGTTATATCACCATCCTCTAGTTGTTCTTCCTGAAAGTAATGAAATGTCAGCTCAGATTCATTTATCTTATTGTTACATACACATATCCACCATGATCCTGTGCCCTTAGGTGAGAAAGAGACTGATTTTTAACAACTGAGGTTTTAATACAGTAAATAAAATCCTCGTTGACATCTGGAAGTAAAAATGTCCTTTTAATTTACTTTATTAGAAATAGAATGCAATTTATGCTCACAATCCCACAGTTACGCTCAACCACATTTCTACATACAGCATGTCTATTCACTTTGCCACTGACACAAGTATTGGGTTAGGTTCGTACTACTCTCACTTCTCCCCCTTTAAATAGAAGCAACTCCAATCCTAACTCTGTGCTGCTCAAAGATCTTAGATTGCAACTCCCATCAACTCCAGTTAGCATGGCCATCTGGAGGACATGAATCAAGGAAGGTGCACTCCTAATTATAGCAGTGTTTCCCAACTTTGAAAACTTCCGCATGTGTGGAGTTTAATCCCCAGTATTCAACAATAGTCATGTGGCTGATGAGTCCTGGGCCCAAACCCATACAATAGAGAGACAAAGAAGTATGCAAACAATATTAGAGAAATTCTAATGCTCCACCTCCAACATTAAAATGTAATCCTGTTACAATTAATTCCTGGGCAATATGTAATCTACATGCACAGGAAAAGTGGTGTTTTTAAAAAAATCAAAGCAATCTCTTTTTAACTCAGAATCTAAAAGAGAGGATTAGCTACTCAATGCTCCTAGATACCAATGGAGAAAGAGTGGCACCATCTCAGTCTGTTATTTACAAAATTAGTTTGTATTAAAGTTGATACACAAGACAATCCATGATGGGGGAAGATAGGACAAGTTTGTTCAGCATAGCTCTTTACATGCCACTAAATAGCTTACCACTTAACCAAATTATTTTGAATACTGAAGGAGAAACACGGCATAATTCTATTAGGCCATTCCACCGCATCAATAGCTAAAACAATAGCAGGCTCTCTGGTGGACTATATGAGAACAAAGGGGGGGGGGGAAGAGAAGCTGATAGGATTAGGGGAAGAACTTTAGAGTTGAGTTGTAAAAATCAAATAGTCTATTGAGCTTCAACCTCATTAAGGTCCACATCCGGTGTAGACTTTTCTATCAGCACATGTGATGTGGTTCCAATTACTGGTCAAAACAGCAGCATCCATGTTTGCTATGAAGTGGACATGATACCACTCTTCTCACTCTTTACTTTTAAGAATTCTGCCATGCTGGAAAAGTATTTCTGATTGGCTTCGGTGACCTTCTTCTCAGCTGCCTGTGGATTCACAATCTCCAGACCCTGCAAATGGATAGGAGAAAGATTGCATGGGCAAAATAAAAAACAAAGAATGCACAGATTTTATTCAATCTGTCATTCTTCAGCAATGGAATTCTAGGAGTTGCAATTGCAAAACACCTGAGAGCATCAAGTTAAGAGAGGCTGCTCTGGAGTAGAGGAAGGGCTGTAATGTACCCCAATTCCTCCAGCCTGGAGACAAAAAAATACCAATATATGAGAATATTTGCAATTCAGAATAGAAATGAGGGGTTCTTGGTGTTCTCTGAGCTTGGCTGTTTTCTTACAGATGTTTCATTAGCCAAACTAAGTAACACCATCTGTGCTAGCATGATGACAATATTATTTACTTAGTTTTTGGGTAATGAAATGTCTGCAAAAAAATAACCAAGCTCAAACCAAAGACAGAAAATTGCTTACAGTAGTTTGGTTTGTTTTGCAAAAAGAAGACAATGTAGAAGATTCTTAGGCAATTAATATTCCTCCCAAGCATGACCTACACTTGCTAATTCTAAAAACCTTTGGGCACAAGGGAAGAAATATCCATCTTTAGGACAAGGAAAGTTATATATTTCTCAAATTTCTACAGTACAATGTATCCACATTCCTAAAAGCTTATTATTAAAAGATACTTTCCTTCCACTGTGCTTGAGCTGATTCATTTCTATACTATACCCATCTCCATTTTTTCCAAATTGAAAAGAAGTTACCATTCCAAATTCTTTAGATGAACATACAGAAATTCCCTGCTTTAGTGCTTTCCAGTCATGGATGAATAACAGGAAAGTGTAATATAAGCCACTAGCAATGCTTACCTGCAGTGGAGTGAATGCCACACTAGAAGCTGTGCCAGAGGAACGGTCCCGGATGGTTGACTTTCCCCCATACACCATGCTTTGCTTCTGGAGTGTGCGCTGATGGGGACAAAAAGGTGGCACTTGAGGTTTTAGTATGTATTACATAATATATACATATAGGCAGGACTTCCTGTGGCGCCACGAACGCTGATGGCAGCTCCTTTTGGAGCTCCAGCCCTGAGATTTCGTTAGCGCTAGAACAGCGAAAAACAGCTGTCTAGCGGCTCAAAACTCTCCACCAGGGGAAAAGAGGGAGAGAAGAGCAGAAGGGTTTGGGTAGAGCTTCCCTAGATCCCCAGGCTTTCTTTTTTTTTAAGCCTGGGGATTGCAGGGTGAGAGCTCCCTGGAAGCTCTTCAGTGCTCCGGATCCGGGACGTATCTGCCTTAGGCAGAACGGGGCGTCGCGACCACACCAGCAACAAGAGATTAAAGATTTAAAGATTTCTTCCTTGAGATTTAAAGACACTTTAAATTTGGATGCTGGCAGAGCAGAATCAGGAGAGCAGAACATGCAAGTATAAAAGCCTTAACTCCATTCAAAAAGGGGGGGAAATGGCGCTGAAGAAAATGAAACTTATCAGTGAAAGTGCTTGTTAACGCCTGCAACATTGTTAAAGGTATTGGATTATATTGAGAAGAAAAAGAAAAAGATTTAAAGTGGAAGTGGAATGGAAAAGACTATGGTATGGACCTTTTGTTAAAAGTGTGTGGAAAATAATTGGACTTACTGATTCGATAGCTGAATAAATATAAAGTTAAAACTGAAATATGGCTGCCATTAAGGAAGGAGGATATGAGTCAGCAAATTCACAAGTTCTGACTGTAAAGGTTTTACAAGAACTTTTAAATGATTTTACTTCTGATATACTGGATTCAGCTAAAAGGATTATTCAAGATTGTAAATTGGAATATTACAATGATTTGCTGGCTGGAAAAGAGGAACAAATCAAGCAGGCTAATGTGATTTTGGAGGACAAAGGAGAGACTGACAGGATTAAGATGGAGTTTAGCACACTGAAAACAGAGGTTTTGGTGGAGGCTTCCACACAATTAACTGGAAAGTTAATTGGAGATTTATCACTGCAGATTGAAAAATATTTTGACAATTGGCTTTACAGACAGAGTCAATACTTAAAGAATGAAGTGACTGATTATACAAGCAGGAAAAGCAGAGATGGGGGCTCCAAAGTGAAAGAAATAATTTTGAAAGAACGAATTTCTAAGACACATCAACTACAAATCCAATTTCAACAATTTTTGAAAATAAAAGCAGGGGGACGAGCAATACCAAAGAAGAAAGTGTTAATGAAGAAGAAGGACTGGAAAAAATACAGAAAGAAAAGAAGAATGCGAGGTTAACTTTTTGAAGGGATATTTGGAAGACTACTGATGTCTAATTAAAATGTTTAACTAAAAATGGATAGTTCTTTAAGAGTTACTGAGGTATTAAAAGGGTCAATCAAAAATTTAAGGGGTAGCTTTTTGAAAATTTTAGAATCTATGTAATACTTTTAGGGTTATCTTTGAACAATGCTTTATTGAAACAAAAGGTTTAATTAAAGTTGGATAGTTTTTTGAAATGTATTGCAGTTTTAAAGTGGTTAACCTAAAACTTAATGGATAGGTTTTTTTTTTTCCAAAAGTCTGGAAATTTAGATCATGAAGAATGTCTTACTGAAACATGAGGAAGTATTAAGATAGTTTAAAATGTTTAACTTGAGATTATAGAACTTTTAAAAGGCATATATAATTAAATGTTTATGTTTGATGTTACTGAATATTGAAGAATTTTAAAAGGGGAGTTAAAGAGTGGGAGGAACTTTTGAATTTAATAGTAAGTTAGTATATGTTAGCTTAGGTTTGCTAAATGTTATATCCTGTTTTTGCCCTGGGAAGTCGGGGGTGTGGGGTGAGGAGGGGGGGTTGAGGGGTGTTGGGGATAAAATTGTTTTATGATTTTTAATAAAATAAAAAGGCAAATGTATTAATAGAGAAGTAAGAAGAAGAAGAAATAAAAGATGCGTTAGATGATATATTCAATGACTGATTATGTATTGTTTGTATGTTTGATTATAAAAATAAAAAACTTTTGTATTATAAATATATATATATATATATATATATATATATATATATATATATATATATACAGATAGGCTTAGACTTACAACCATTTGTTTAGTGATCAAAGTTATAATGGTAGTGAAAAAGTGACATGTCTGTTTTTCACAGTTAAGATCGTGCAGCATCTCCGTAGTCACATGATTAAAATTCAGATGCTTGGCAACTGGCATTACTTATGATGGCTACAGTGTCCTGGTGTCACATGATCACCTTTTGCGACCTCTTGACAAACAAAATCAATTGTTAAGATTCTCTTAACTATGTTACTGTCTTAATAACTGTAATGATTCACTTAACAATGATGGCAGGAAAGATCGTAAAATGGGGCAAAACTCACTTAACAACTGCCTTGCTTATCGGAATTCTACGCCTTTTTTTTTTTTTTCCCCTTCTTTTCTACACTTCTCTCTTCCCCTTTCCCTCCGTTTTGTTTCCTACTATTTGCTTTTGTATTTTTGTATTTTATATTATAAGCAGATAAAAAACTGTAAATGCTTATCAAAGGAAATTTGGGGCTCAATTGTGGCTGTAAGTTGAGGACTACCTGTATTTAATATATTATGTATGGAAATCTGTAGCTAGAAAAGGTAGGGATCAAGTATTCTAGGTGTCCTCTGGGAACATTTGCAGTCTTCTCTAAAGTAAAATCCTAATGGTAAATTATGTTGCTAGAACAGGCAACTAATTTAAGGCCCAGTAAAGCTTTCAGGCTCCAAGAAATACTTTATCCAGGTGGAGGGCAAAAGGTTTTGGGCAGGGAGAGACTTCCAAAGAGCCCTAAGGAAGACTCAACGCGTGCATGCTTGAAACAATCACACAGTGATAAGATTACACAGTTGATCTTGTGACTATGACACAGTTGATCTTGTGACTATGACTGTACACAATGACAACCACAATTTACGAATTACAGTGGTAGCATTCACATGCAATAAAGCAGGGGTGTCCGACCTTGGTAACTTTTAAGATTTGTGAACTTTCAGATGGTTAGCTGAGGAGTTCTGGGAGTTAGAAGTCCACAAATCTTCAAGTTGCCAAGGTTGGACACCCCTGCAACAAAAATTAAATTGCAGCATGTTCCATGAATTCAGTCAAAAGCACTAACCCCCAATTCTGGAGGCTTATACAAGCCTGGAGCATTTGTAATGAAATCGAGCCAAACTTGCTCCTTAGAAGGACAAAAACAGACATTGCAATTTGCTGAGCTTCCGTTTCCTCACCTGCAGTGTTTTTGAGATGCGGGCCTTTGTGGCCTCGTTAACTTGTGTCTGCCGGACACGGCCACTGCCTGATTTGCCTAAGTGGCCAAGACTGAACCCAAGGTCTTCTTGGTAAGCATCTTCTTCAATCTGGAAAAGGCATGAGAAGAAGTGAAGTAAATAATGTATTTATGTCATTTCTATACCACCAAAGGACTCCTTTCATTTTACAGAAGCTGTACCCAAATGGACGACATGGGCTGGTTCTAGCTTAAGCGGATGGTCCTTCAGCTACCCAAACACCTGGACAAATATAGTATTTTAGATTAAAACCAATACCTGGAATTGTACTCAAGAGCCTATTGGTAGTTAATGCGGTGCTTACAATACTGTTACATAGCATTGGTAGACCTCATCTATCAGCAGCACATGAACAGCTGCATTTTATGCCAATGGCATACTCTGGGCAATCTTCAAAATATGTTGAAATATGTACAGATAATATTCAATCTATGACCAATCATTTAACTATCATTTGAAGTTACGGTGGTGCTGAAAAAAATGACTTATGATCAGTCACTGCACTTATGACAGTCTCAGTGTCCTGGTGGTCTCATGATCAAAATTTACAGTATTTTTCGTAGTATAAGACGCACCTTAGTTTTTGGGGAGGAAAATAAGAAAAAAAGCTGATTGGTGGGTGGATCGGCCTCCCAGATACCCCCAATCAGCTGTTCCCAGAGGTGAATTTTAGCAACAGGTTTGATGGTTGTGAGCTCTGTGCCTGGCTTTTTTTACTGCCTCTGAAACTCCATTTCAGAAAAGACTTTTTTTTCTGCCTCTGAAAGCCTCCAAAACAGAGCTTCAGAAAAAAAGGCTTTTTTTCTGAAGCTTCTTTCATAGGCTTTTATTCTGAAGGACTATCTGTACTCCAATCTCCTTTCTTTGATATTGGTATACAGATTAACCTCTTTAGATCTGTTGGTTATTTTTTTATTATTTTTTATTTGTCACATTTCTATGCCGCCCAACTCCCAAGGTTATTGTGTCATTCTCCAGATTTGTTAACATAGTTTGGTTAGAACCTTTACTGATTCTTCTTTTGTTGCTTGCCATATTATTTTAGATAAAAACCTTTCAGAGGCTTTTTTTTCTAAAGCTTCTTTCAGCCTCTGAAATCTCCGTTTGTGAGACTGGGCGGGACTACATTCGGAATATAAGACGCACCCAGATTTTCACCCTTTTTGGGGGGGGAGGGGGGAAAGGTGCATCTTATACTCCGAAAAATACGGTAGGCGCTTGGCAACCAGCATATATTTATAATGGTTGCAGTGTCCCAGGATCACATGATTGCCATTTGCAATTGTTCCAGGAGGCTTCTGATAAAATCAATGGGCAAAGCCAGATTTGCTTAATGGTGGCATGATTTGCTTACTTGTGATTCAGTTAATGATTGCACCACTTAGCAATGAAAGTTCCGGTCCCAATTGTGGTCGCAAGATGAGCACTACCTGTACTGCAATAGTTGATTTAAGAGGTAATAAGGGCATAGGGAGTTGTTGACAGGGAATCATGTTCCAGGAAAGGCTACAAAAATGATGCATCTGGTGCCTCACTCTCCCCTGTCTATCTAGCAACACTTGTAAGATTAGAAGTACCCCCAAATTGTAGACCTGTGGCTTCAGGGGGGCTGCTCCCCAATCCAGAGTCATCAGGATCAAAGCACAGGCATGGATACTGGAGCATCACCTTGAAACATTTATGAAATGTTGCCTCTTTTTATCAGATTATCTAGAGGCAAAAATGTTTTGTATTCTCAATTCAAATCTGTATGTCAGAAAGCAGCCCTGAACATTTTGAATGAGAATTGGGCCTTGAACGGACAGAAGAAAGCAACTAAGTTTTGGTAGTACCTTACAACGGTAATAAAATTATATGTTTCTTATGAACAAAACATTAAATTTCCATATATAACTTGGCATTCCTCAAATGTGAAGAATGGGAACTCAAGACATTTGAAAGCAACAGAGAGAGAAATGTGGCTGGGCAGAATCTCATACTTCTCCAAAGCTCATTCGGTTTGCTTGCTTCCGGATTTCTGTTAAGCCAAGGCGTTCTTTCATCTTACGATATCTGAAGCAAGTAAAAAGATTATTTTTTAAAAAAAAAACATCTGAAAATTTGCACAGGAGCAAGTTTATTATATTATAACCTAAGATAGCCTATGACTGTAATAAGGATCATTTGATTATAACCTATGGCTTATATATAACATCCAGATGAGTTACGCATTGAGTATCAGAATCCCTGGGTATGGGTCCCTGACTTAACCCTTCTTCCCCCCACCCCTTTTCCAAATATTTGAAAGCAGTTATTAGCTCTACCATAACAAAAATGCATGTCCTGGTCAATAAACAAAATAAAGTTTCTGTCTGTCTACAAGAGGAAAGGAAATGGCACTGAGGAATCGGAGGCAATGTCTGGAGACTGGCAGTTATTACAAGCAGGCAAGATGATTATCCATCAACTGCCATGGCCACAAGCTACAGTGAGCAGCATATCCTTGTGGGAGCTCGGTAGCAACTCAAAGAGGAACAACCACACTGAAGACCACACCTCACCCTAACTATGGTAAGAACTTTTAGGAGTGAAGGTTGTATGCCATGAATTGCGTGAATGAATTAATGTTTTTATTTTTTTTTTATTTTTTAATTTTATTAACATACATAAATCATAATATATAACACTATACACAATACCAACAATCAACGAGTGCTCCCCCGCCCCTTGGGATCATTCCTGCTTCCAAAATCTTAAAGCTTCTTCTGGTGGTGGCATCCCCCTTCCTCCAGAAAACACATATATTAGGAACTGTTTCCAGATTCCATTGAATTCATTTACTTTCATTATGCCTCTCCTTACTTTAATATTACAAGTCAGTTTATCATTTATGGCAATATCCCATACTTCCTTATACCATTCTTCCAAACAATAATCACCTCGTGACTTCCAGTTGCGGTCAACAAATTATCAACTCTTTAGTCTCTTTTTTACACTTTATATCTTCCAATAGTGAGAGTAATGCTACCTTTGGTGCCTCTTCTACCTTTATTCCTACAATTTCTTCAATCTCCTTAAACACCATCTTTCACAATTTTTGCACAAATTTACAATCCCACCACAAATGTAAATACGTTCCTTTTTCCCAGCAACCTCTCCAACAGTTATCTGAATAGTTCTGATTCATATTGCTTAATCTAACTGGAGTTAAGTACCACCTCCATACCATTTTATAATAATTCTCTTTTATTCTTACTGACATATTTCTCAACACTCTTTGTTGCCAAATTCTTTCCCAACTCTGTTGCCCTATTTGTATCTTCAAATCGGTTTCCCATACCATCTTTCCTAAACTTTCCCTCTCCTCTTCCTCCAACAATATTTTATAAATTCCACTCATTAAGCCTTTTACCCCTTTATTTTCTTCCTTTACAGTTTCATTTTTTTCAATTAATTCCTCGAACCTCGTTAACTCTCTACACTCTCCATTTTCTCTTATCCAGTTTTTAGTCCATTGTTCCACTTGGCTGTAATTTAACCATGACAACCGTTTTCCTCCTAGAACCTCTTCCAATTCCCCACGTGTCCTCATTCCTCCTAACCATTCCCTTAGTTTCATTTTATTTTTCTCTTTTAAAATTTTATTCACTTTATTCTTCAAATTCCCTGGGAACTTTTCCAAGATTACTACTGGTGATAATGGAGAGTTCTTCAGAAGCAGCCTCCTTTTATATTTACTCCAAATTTCCCAATGAAACTTCAGGAGAGGATTGCTTATGCTTTCAGCCCATTTCTTTCCACCTTCCATAAAAAATATATTTTCCAGCTTCCATTCTAATTTGGTTTTAATTTTAGATTTATCTTCCAACCATTCCAATTCTCCTATTCCTAAAATTGCCTCTATAACATGTTTAAGCCTATTAGCGACATAATATAATTTAATATTTGGGAGTCCTAAGCCTCCTTTTTTTTGGCTTAGATACCACTTATTTTTATTTATCCTCGCTTTCTTATTCCCATTACAATAGTTATTCAGTATATTCTGCCAACTTTTTAACTCTAATTCTGATATTTTTATTGGTAGCATCCTAAAAGCAAAATTAATCTTTGCTAAAATCTTCATTTTTACTAAAGCAATTCTTCCAAACCATGATAAATTCAACCTTTTATGTTTATTCAAACCTTCCAAAATCTCCTTCTTTAAGCTGCCTAGATTTTCCTTTTCTAAATTCTCCAAATTTTTTGTGATTCTAACTCCCAGGTATTTAATATGATCTTTAATTCTCATTTCGCTTTGCTTCCCTTCCCAATCCTTTTCTTCCCTTTTAGTATAGTTAAACAACATCAACTCAGATTTTGACCAATTTATTCTTAATCCAGTTATTTCTTCAAATTCTTTTAGATGCCATCCAATTCTTTCCATCTTATCTACTATATTCTTAACTGTTAACAATGTATCATCAGCAAACATATTTAATTTTATTTTACCTATCCCTTCTATCTCCCCATCGTCTCTTAATGCATTGGCCAATAATTCCATAACCAATATAAATAGGACAGGTGAGAGTGGGCACCCTTGCCTTGTTCCTCTGGCGAGTCGTATCTTGTCTGTAACTCCATCATTCACTACCACTAAGGCAGAGTTCCAAGAATATAATTGATTTATTACAACTCTGAATTTGTTTCCAAACCCCATTCTGTCTATTACTATCTTTAATGCTTGCCAGCTCACACAATCGAAGGCCTTAAAAATGTCTAAGGCTAATATCCCTGCTTTAAGCTTTAGATTTTTAATCTCGTGAATTGCATTTAACACTCTTCCAACCAAATTATGCATTTGTCGACCCATTACAAATCCACATTGATCTTCCTTTATATAATTACCTATAAAATTATTCATTCTCCTTGCTAAAATAGTTGAAAATTTTTTTTGCATCTTGATTTATTAATGTTAATGTTTAACATTAATGTTAATGTTTAATGTTTTTAATTTTTAAATGTTTTTTAAAATGATTTTTTAAAATGTATTGTGAGCTGCCCTAAGTCTTCAGAGATGGGCGGCATATAAATTGAATTAAATTAAATTAAATTAAATTAAATTAAATAATTAAATTAAATTAAATTAAATTAAATTAAATTTTACAGATATACATTTTTGCTTGAAGTAAGTATTACAAGACTGAGTATTAACAGCATATTTATATGGCAACCTCACTTTGCAAATCCTAAAGGGTAGAGAGCGACAGCCTATTGTTGGGGATGATGTGTGCTGCCATAAAGCATTGTGTACAGATTTGCTATGCTGTGGTGTGTCCAATCCTTGGAAAACAAAGAACCCTCACAGACAGATATGAATGTGAGCTGATTCTCACTTCCCGGCATTTGACCTGACTTTCCCCCTTAGCTCTTCCAAAGCTTTGTGCCTGGACCCCCATACCTGCGGCCTCCCCGTTTCTTCCTCTGTCCGTCCAGAGGGGCTGGCAGTGGCTTCACTTGTTTCACTGGAGGTGGCTCCTGCCACTTATCAAACTTCCTCTCAATCTCTTCCTTCAGGTCATATCCAACCTGGATGGTTAACAGAAGGAAAGTTACAGCAGATGAAAGCAGCTCTTTTCAAGCTGGAGGTCACAGTAGTGGAAAGCTCCGGAGAGCAACATTGCATCAAAGTGGGAAAAGTGAGGGTTCCAGCTTAGGCTGAAGAAAATTGGTTGCTATGCTTGTTGTTCGTAGACTCCATGTATGTACTTAAGTAAAACCCTGCCACAAATCCCAGGTTCAAATTTTTTCAACGTTTGTTATCCAAAGAGGTTGCATTCTGGGCATCATATTACAAACCAGAATGTCTATATCCCCGTAGACTAAAGCTGATCTATTGGCCTTCTCAATTTCTCATCTTGGCTTAGCTGTACTTTTATAATCTTTCCCTAAAGAAAAATCACTACCTTCAATTTTAATCTCCCTCTCACAGTAGATCCATTCCCTAGGCCAAACTAAAAAGGGTCTTTTTCTCACAAAAGCAGGGAAGTATAATAAATTACATTAGAACCTGGAAACTCAAGTTCAAAAATTACCCAGACTCTGACAAAAGCTAGCTAGCAACTTTCAATCTAATATATCTCAGAATTTTTGGTGTAGAGTTACTCAGGATTGCAAAATCAACTCTGCTCTTCTCGAGGTTCCTTAGAAGGGGAACAGGAAGGTGTGCAGCCAGAAATACCCTTCTTCTTTGTCTTGACAATCTATTCTAAATCCTCTTTCATTTAGGGGAATTACCCATTTCCTTATTTAGCCTATACAGAGCCTCCACAATGTTTATAAACACAAAAGCAATAATTACTGTGGGCACCCAACTTTTCCAAAAGGGTTAAATAGCTTTCTGAGGAAGTTCCATATCTTAGGCCCTTGCTGCATATCTTCGGTGAAACAAAGTCTTTTAAAATTTCATTAGAGATGTCCCAGGAAGTCTGACTTATGCTTCTATTCCTGCTATTACCCCAGTGCTCTAGAGCAGGGGTCCCCAATCCTGGTCCACTGCCTAGTGCCAGGATGCATCCATTTAGAACTGGGCCACGGTAGTGGGTGGGTGTCTGCACATGTGAAGCTTCATTTGTGAAAGTGGCGCATACGAAATATCCCCTCCCCTCCCACTGCCTCCTCTTCCTCCACCAGAAAGGTTGGAAACCACTGCCCTAGAGCCCTTAGCCTCACCTTCCCTTCAGCACTCTCATGGAAGCTGTCCACTCGAGCTGCTAGGGTGCATTTTGCTGCCACCAAACGTGCCGCTTTCCTCCGCAGATCCTAAAAAGAAGGAATGAAAATCAGTGCTGGAGCCTCATGCACGAACACATCAATCAGAAAAGGAGCTTCAGATCCCCACACCTACCGGAGGCAATGATTGTACAATGTCACTGTGGTAGATGTAACCAGTGTGAGGCAATACAGAAGTGCTGGAAAAGCCAGAGAGGGTTTTCCTCTGGGCTCCCAGGAGCATGATGTTGCAAGCTGGCATCTTAGAAAGGTTGGTGAGGCCACCGGCAATGCCTTAAACAAAGAAGAAACGGAGAGTGAACATCACAGCAGGATCAAACAGCCAAGAAGCTGCAAGGCTTTTGTTCAGCTGATTTTTGGCAAGTCACTTTCCCCGCTTGTTGAGATTTGAAGAGAAGAGCCTCTCCCTGGGAAGTTGAGCTTGTTGTCCACAAAGAAGGATTCTTGCTAATCCTTCTTTGGAGATTTGCCAGAATTAATCAGAAACAGAATCTTCCCTGTTCAGCAGGGCATTTCTTGGTTCCATAGTTTTAAATGAAGGAATGAAAACAGCTCACAGGTGAGCTATTCTGACAAAACTTTGGACAGCTGAACTATAAAAGATAGAATAGTTTCCTCTAATAACAAAACAAAGTCATCCTTTCAGAGGGGAAAGATTTCATTTCCCTCTAAAAACCACATATTTCCTACAACTCTATAGTTTAGTCAAAATCTCTTATGCTCAAGCGCACAGCTCTCCAGCAACAGACTTACCCATGATTTTGGCAGCAGTAGAGGCCCCAACAATGATGGATAAGTTTGGGGCAATGAAGGACATACGGGACTCCACATATTCATAGATGCGGTGCTTTGATTGGTTCAGCTCTAGGGCCATGTCACAGGCCTCCTCGATGCGTTCTAGTTCCTCCTCAGTCAACTGTTGCCTGTAGTGAAAGAAAGAGCCCTCTTGAGACCTTCATATTCATTTTGAATCTCTGATATTAGCAACATGCTAAAGCAAGGTCCTTTTCATTCGTTTTTCTCGGTAGCATCCCTGTAGATATTAGTTCCATCTTCCCTAACCTGGTGGGACTGGGTTTGGCTTCAGATGTGGTGGATTGAATGTTAACTATTTTAATTCCTTTATCTATGCTGGAATCTGGAGGGCACAGAGTTAGGGAAGAAAAGAAAAATGAAATCTGGAGACAAATAGCTCTTTTCAGAGTTTGCAGGATTCAGGAACATGCATTAAGGGCAAAGATAATAAATAAGGTAATGTTTTCCTCCTTTGGTTTTGATCTTCAGCCATGCAGGCAAGCTGCATCAAGAATAATATTTGAATTATGCTAATAATTTTATTTCTGCTCTCAAGTGCACTTAGAAAAAAAAGCTAGATACCCACCTTTCTTCTCTACCTACCCTTTCTCAAATATAGTCAGATAGTAATGATTGTCAGACGTCGATGTACAATTGGTACAACCCTCCCCCACATCCCACTTTCATTTGAATTCCAGCACTTTTTCACGCATCATGTAGAATATAGAATCCTCTAAGGGAAAACTACTATAATGGTTAAAAGTAAACCAATTCTGCAGGAGTGTTATTCATTCTTCTAAGCTTTTTTAAATACCTAAGAGGTCCTCTCTTAGAGGAAGGTGGGAAAAAAAAGCACGCTATAGGGAAGGCTGGATGATATTTTCTCTTAGAATTAGGAAAAAATAAAAGAATGTCTCACCTTCAGTCAGAAGTGGAACAATTTGTGGGGGATTTTTTTCTGGCTGTGTGTGTGGATTTGGCCCCAGCCCCTATCCAGAGCTGATCTCCCACATTCCTTCTAAATCCTCCCCTCAGTTCTTACAGACGATCCATCTTACCCTTGAGTAGTAGATGCAGTGACACTGACCACCATGATTGTGGCATTGGTAAGAATCTGTTGAAGGTTCTCATTGTTCTTGCATTTGTCCAAACTGTTGCCCAGTTCCTGCAAAGGTCCAACATTTGAAGGAGAGGTTGGCTTTTGACAATGACCAGGAATTTTTGTACAAATACATGTTGGGCTCACAAGCCCTGTGAAAAATACCAGATACCTCATCTGATTTCAGGCCATCAAGAACGAAGAAACTGAAAGATATGCCTGTTCTGGAATTGTTAATAGATGAACCATGGACCACCAAGAGCCGAAACTTCTATTCTCCATATTTTAGTTTTATTCTATGCCCTATAGAATATTAGCTAACCTCTCAGTCTCATCCTTGCCAAAGATGCAGCACTGCAAGGTGCATCTTTCAGCTTTTATAGCTATAAATGATTTTTTTCCTCATCTTTTCCCCATTCCTTCTGCCATGTCTTGTGCACAGCAAGCCTGAGGGATAACCTTAGTCATCTTTTTAAGTCAGTGTGCATATCTGGCTGAGAACAAAATCTAAAAAATATTTCATCTAAAAATCTAAAAAATGTTAGTGTTCTCATTGTTCCTAGATACATGGAAGAACTTCTATGATTCAGTAAGGATCAGCACCAACATTTCCTGCACCCGTTTTCATTTGATTTTTATCCTACTTTTATTATTTTTATAAATAATTTAAGGCGGGAACCATGCATAATACTTCCTCTTCCTATTTCTCCCATAACAACCCCGGGAGGTAGGTTGGGCTCAGTGGTGGGATTCAAATTTTTTTACTACCTGTTCTGTGGGCGTGGCTTGGTGGGCGTAGCAGGGGAAGGATACTGTAAAATCTCCATTCCCACCTCACTCCAGGGGAAGGATACTGCAAAATCCCCATTTCATCCTGATCAGCTGGGACTCGGGCGGCAGAGAATAGATGGGGGAGAGGCCAGTCAGAGGTAGTATTTACTGGTTCTCTGAGCTACTCAAAATTTCTGCTACCGGTTCTCCAGAACTGGTCAGAAGCTGCTGAATACCAACTCTGGTTTGGCTAAAACAGAGGGATTGGCCCAAGATGGCTTTCATACCAAAGGTTGGACTGGGACTCACTTATATTTTCCATTTCTGTATTTTATCCCCACCATATTTACAGGATTACAACTTTTAAAATGGGAGCAATGCTGGTTTTGGTTTATTTAATAGATCTGGAGGATTCCTGATAAGGGAAAGCTAAAGAAAAGTACTGAATTTCAATCCAGCAAATCTAAATGCAAATTCTTAGATGGCCATAAAATTCACTGAATCAGCAACAAAAGTAACCAATGGGCTGTGAGTGTTAAGAATGCAGAAACAGAATGGATGATGATGGTAATAATAATAAATTTAACTTGCCACCTAAATCTCAACTTTTCTGGACAGCTCACAACAAACAAATGTCAATAAAAACAATAAAAAATAAAGACACACAATGGCAAGCGTGATGAAAGGATGTCTTTCAATCTCCCTCACTGAAGACCTGGGTGAAGAGCCGGGACTTCACAGTTCTTCTAAACAGCAGCCATCTTAATCTTGAAAGGGACCTCATTCCAGAAGGTACGAATTTATGGAAATCATGAGTGTAAACGGAAGAATGAACTTTGCATATTTTAAGAAGAAACACAATACCTTAACAGTCCGGATGTAGTCCAAAGCATTGGGAACAAGGGACTCTAATTCTGGGAATCGTTTGGAGTATTTGTCTCGGATAAACTTGTGTATAATATCTAGACACAAAAGACAGCAATCCGTAAAGCATTAAGGTGATTGGGAGGGTGGAACAAGTTTCCTCAACCTAATAATCTGTAGTTGAATTAGACTTCAAGCTTTGCAATTCCAAGGCAGGATGGGAATAAAGTTAATAATGTTAATAATAAGAGCCTTGGTAGTACAGGGGTTTAAGGCACCCTGTTATTAAGCTTATTAAGACCAGCTGCCTGCAATTACTGCAGGGTTCGAATCTCGCCAAGGCTCAAGGTTGACTCAGCCTTCCATCCTTTCTAAGGTAGGTGAAATGAGGACCCAGTTTGTGGGGGCAATAAGCTGACTTTGTATAAATATACAAAAGGATGAAGGCTATT